CTCAGGGTGAGCATGTGACACCACACTGAGCTTATGAGATGTAGGCAAAGTCAGCCAAGTGAGACTTCTAGGAAAGCTTGTTTCTCTGACTTTGAAAAAAAAGGCTGACAAGCCCTTTGCCCTTCCTCCTTCATCCTACCTGGAACATGGATGTGAGACTATAAAGTGCAGCAGCCATCTTGTGACCATGAGGACTAATCATGAGCTGAGGGTGGTAGAGCAAAATGATAGAAGAAACCTGTATACACGATGACTTTTTTTTTTGAAGTATAGTCAATTTAAAATGTTGTGTCAATTTCTGGTGTACAGCATAAAGTTTCAGTCACATATACATATATATTTTCCTTTTCATATTCTTTTTCATTAGTAGTTACTACAAGATATTGAATATAGTTCCTTGTGCTATACAGTAGAAACTTGTTGTTCATATACTTTATATATAGTAGTTAGTATCTACCAAAAATATGGAACACTTCACAAATTTGCGTGTCATCTTGCGCAGGGGCCATGCTAATCTTCTCTGTATTGTTCTAATTTTAGTATACGTGCTGCCGAAGCCAGCACCATGATGAGTTATTTAAGCAGCTGCACCAGTCCTAGGATTATGCATATTAGTGTAAGTCACTGTTGGTTGGATTTTCTCTTATTTGCAGCTAAACAAATTCTTTACTGATATAAGCAGGATCCTTATTGGTTTCAAAGAAAGGTGGATTCACACGAATACAACTGAGAGAGCTGAGTATTTCTTCAAAAAGTCCCAAGAATAGATTAGTCAGAGAAATCATTGTCCATTTCAGGCTTCAGGATTTTACTGTAACTCACTCGGAAGGAAAATAAGTCCGTATCAAGGACAGTTAGAATGCCATCACCTAAATCATATTATTATATTTCATTAAATCTCAGATGCCATCCACTGTAAGGCGCAGCATTATTTTATGCATCACTACAAGAGGGAAAATGTTCTTGAGACATGCCACTGGTTGTAAGATGCATTTACTTCGATTTCAGAGTTTTTTTTTAATGGGGGGGGTCTTAGAATCAGTGACATACAGCGTATGTTTGCTTCCTTGACTATTGCTTGTATCCCCATTAGGTCAAAGATCCTGTTGGCTTTGCTTTCTGCTGAGTCCTCCACACCTGGAACTGAGCCTGGCACAGAGCAGGCTCCATAGAATTTTTTTTTCCAATAATAAATTGAGTTGTTAAAAAATTGAAGTAGAGTCAGTTTACAATGTTGTGTCAATTTCTGGTGTACAGCATAATGTTTCAGTCATACATATATATACATATATTCATTTTCATATTCTTTTTCATTACAGGTTACTACATTGAATGACTCAGTGATTTAGTCCCTGCCTTTCCAATAACTTGCCATACACCCTGGCTAAGCAAAGCATTTACCTTTCTCTGTGCCCCTTGTCTCCATAATGTAGTTCAACTGAACCTCACCAGAAATGAAGAAAATGCAAAGTGGACCCCCACTCTGCATCACCATGGTGATGCCTCCCAGCACCTCAGATGGACATGGGAGAGCCTGATGCTCCACCATCCCTAGAAACGTCTCTTTCCCCAGAGCCCAGTTACTTCAGAATTAACCCTTCCCAGCCAAGTCTCTTCCAACACTCTGGGTTACTAAATGTGCTCCCTGCAAATGGACAAGAGGTGAGGAAATATGCAAGATTCTTCAAGGAAAGGGATGGTATTTTGCAACTTCCCTGAATTTCTCCAGGAAGATGACATGCCAGTGTGCCATTGCCACAAAATATTTTAAAGTAATAATATTACTTTAAATGAGCCTGCATGTCTCAGAGAGAGTCTTTCCTAACCAAAATCATTGGGCTGGTGCAAGGCTCTGTGTGCCCCTCCTGCTACAAGAACACCATTCAGAAATAATAAAAATAACAATAATAACTCACACACAATGAGTGGCATACCCTTTGCATATGTTCCCTCATTTAAACTTTAGCAAAAATGTATGGGATAGGAAGTAACATTATTCCCTTTTTACAGGTAGAAAAACTGAGGCATGAAGATGTTAAGTCACAGTACGTAGCAGAGCCTGACTCTGAACCCAGGTTGAGTAGCACCAGCATCTGTGCTCATAACCATTATGCTTCTCTGCCTGGCAGCTGCCTTACACTGAATACCTAGTTGATGCCAGGCACTGTTCTTGGCACAGGCAAGAATAAAGCCCAGTTCCTGCCCTGAAAGAGTTCATACTCTGGTGGAAAAGACATATCTGCTGGCAGAGATGGGTAAACAAAGCATCACAGAAACACAAAAGAAAGAAAAAAGGCCCCTGCCTATGGGTAATCAAGGAAGGCTTCTCAGAGGAGGTGGCTTTGAGCAAGGCATTGGAGGGAAAGTAGGAGTTGGCTAGGTAGGCAAAAAGGAGGCAGGGCATCCCAGGGAGCAGAAACTTCCTGGAGGCTAGATCTGGGGGGAAGGAAGGAGGCAAAAGGCAGGGCTGAAAATAAAAGAAGGGGCCCCAAGGGAAGGGAGTCTCACTGCCTTGGTCAGGGGGCCTGAGATGGATTTACACAGTGAAGGGGCGGACTTGCTTTGCATTTTAGAAAGAGCTCTCAGGTAGTTGCATAAGGGGTGATTGCAGGTTGTGGGGGGGGAGGGGAAGTGGGGGTGCAGGCTGAAGAAAGAGCTGCATCCAAGTGGACCGTGAGTCTCACATGTCAGGTCAGCACCGTCAGGGACATTATGAAGTGGAGGACAGACATGTAGACCAACTTTGGCTTCAAGTGTAGGAGGGAATGGACCTCCAGGCCTACAAAACGCTCACTGACTGGATAGGCCTTCCGTGTGCTCACATGGGATGACAGGGGTCTCTGGCCCGGTCTCTACACCCACTTCTTAAACACCACCTCTTCGAGGCCGCCACATCAGGGCAGCCGCGGTGGGGCCGTGCACAAGCTGAGCACGGAGCAGAGAAAGCTGGCTGCTGGGAGAAAAGACTGAGGTAGACACAGGCAAGAGAGATGCGAGACCAGGGCACCCTGGAGAGTGGAGAGTTGGAGAGAGCAGTTGCCTGAGAACTTTTCAGTTCCTTGAGGCCACGCCACACTACCTGCAACCAAGCAGTTTTCTAGCATGTCCTTTTTTTTTTTTTCTTGTTTCCTTTTCTAACTTAAGCCAACTTGAGTGAGTTTCTATTTCCTGGAATTAACAGACCTCTAACACAGCCTTACACACTGTCCTGTAATTTTCTTTTTCACTTTCTAGGTTCCCTTTTAAAATACAAATGCTCCTGAGAAAGTAATGCTTATATTGCTAATACTTTAGGATAAATGGCTTACATCATCTTCCCGAGTGGAGGAAATGTAGGAGGTGGCTGGCCAGTAGCATGAGCTGCAGGGGAGAGGATGCTGAAGAGGGGGCCAGTGGCTGTGAAGTCAGAGACAGACCTGGTGGCCCTGACAATCGCACTTCGGCCCAGCCCAGCGTGCAGAAACGCTCTTGCTGCCTTTGGGTCTGCAGGGGCTGGCTGTAAAATTCCTGGGGAGAGCTGTTCCAAAGCACAGGGTATACTACAAAAGGTTAAAGAATTAGCTGGAAGTCTGGTATCTTCAGATCGGATCTGTGAGCCATTCCTCATTCTGCAAAAATTTAAGATTCTTATATTTGCTCTGTCTAAAAGAGCCTGGTGTATCTTCATTCCGTTGCCCCAAAAACTTGACGTCTCACACTTGAGTAGTCACATCCCAGACAATAAACTGTTAATTCATCAGAAGAAAGTCAGCATTCTTCGGTACCTACCCAAACAAGTGGCTTTTTCAGTGGCTGGCTTTCGGGAAGTCCATCTGAAACACCTACGCCCTCAAAGAGCCTCCAACAGCAAGTGCCCAAGCCACATTCTTGTTTACTTGAACTTATTTATACCCTCTCTCATTCCACAAGGGACCTGAGGGGGCTGCCAACTCTCTGTGTCATCAGATCGTTATACCAAACTCATAGCAAACACTGTCATATTTCTAGAGGGCTGGAAATATAACAATGACCAACACGAATAGAACACTCAAGACAAGTGTGCTAAGTAGTTCACCTGGATTAATTCATTCAGCCCGGGAGAGGTTCCACTGGGTTCCACTGAATCCACACTGCTCTCAGTTGTAGGTTGCACCATTATGCACCGCTAAGAAAGAAAGAAAAAAAACCTGTCAACCAGCTGAAAGATGCAGTACCAGTCAGCATATGCTAGATTGTGCTGTCAAAACATAGACTCCGAAAGTTCAATGGCTAAAGAAGAAAGGTTTATGCTCCTGTCTCCTGAAATGCCCACTGACCGCAGCTTAGCTCCACACGACCTTTACACGTGAGATCCAGGCCCACAGAGCAACCTCCCTCTGGAACTTTGCTAATTGTTGAGGTGATCCTTTTAAAGCTCAGCCAGAAGTGATATGTCACTTCCCTTCACACTGCATTGGCCAGAGCACGGCCACCCCTGGGCTCCTCCTGTAGGGACGGCTACGGCAGCAAACAGCAGTACAATTTCCTATTCCTATATCAATTGAAAGACACATCCTGGAATTGATGAAATATGGAACTTTCATCCCCAGTAGCCAGGTGAGGAATGGACACTTACATGGGTCACACAAGGTGCCTGAAACCTCATAGGGGCAGACCTGGGGCTTCAGCCCAGGTATCACCAACTCCACCTTTAACCTGGTCAGAACAAGGCCTTATGTATGATCTCTCGGGTCCTGGGGAAGCCCAGAGGACCCTTAAATTACTCTCCATTTATTAATCTGTCTTTTTAAAAGATTCTTTTCTTTAAACACGTGTTGAGCCAGCACTGCGCTAGGTACAGCACTAAAGAATAAGTCTCTAGCTCCCTTAAACAAAATATCCCAGATCAGTCATGGGTCAAAAGGGAGATTCCCAGAGGCCAGCTATTAGCTGTGCAGAGAAAGGCATGCACTCAGAAGCTAAGATACACGTGACCCTGTCCAATACAGGGCTGGCCCTGGTCGTAAATCACCCCGTTAGGAGGACTATTTACTCTAAGCGGAGGCCTGGTGCGTGTGGGTCAGGTGCCAAGAAGTGAGTGAGCTGGCCATCGGAATGTGAGTGTGGGTGGGGTGGGGGGAAGTGGTCACCGGCTGCCACTGAGTCACAAAGAGCTGAGCTGGGGAGGGCAGCGGGCCCCACCTTGGCGCAGCAGGAAGGAGCAAGGTCGGGAAGAGTCAGAGGTTGGGTGGGGCAGGGAGGAGGAGGAAGGCTGTCTCAGGTCCCAGCAGATCCCTGAGGTGGCTGGCAAACAGGCCTCTGATGCAAACACCGCCCCACCCAGGGTCCAGCTGGCGATCCAGAAAGCTCCTTCTGGGATGTATGTCGGGGTGGCCGTGAGAATACCCAGAACCTTGCTTTTGTCTGGTTTGAAATTCAGAAGCAGATGACTGGGGCGCCCAATACTTTATTCTTAAGAGTCAAGATTTAGGATCCTTTAGCTGTAACTCCTCCTTCCCAGAGCAAGGGTAAGCAAGTTTTCAGACATTTAAAAAATGGGAAATAAGAAAAGCTGAGGGTTAGCAGGTAGTAGAAAGAACAGAATGGTTGGAGGGGGGGGATGAGGACAAAATATGAACATGAAATAGAGCCAGCTAGAGGATGACATTGCTGGTTAGTCATGGCATAAGCTGAGCATGGAGTCCCAGCTCTGCGTTATAAAGTGAAGAGGGATTACCGCGTGGAGGAAGTGTGCCAGAGGCCAGTCAGACAGCTGCTGGCCTCCTGCCAAGCTCTGAGGCCAGGCTGGCCAGTCAGGGTCCCGCCTCCATGAGCAGAAGCCCAAACTCCCCCATCGGGGACCCCTGGAGCAAGGGTTCACTCACACACTCTGCCCAGCTAGGCCCCAACCTCCACATTCATCCCCTCAGAACCCTCTGCTGCCCTCTCTGGCCACTATCCCTGTTCACGCCTATCTTCTCTCCATCCTTCAAGGCTGCCCCCTGGAATGACTCCAGCCCTCGCTGCACAAGTGCTAGATGTTTGTTCCTGGGGGTCCTTTGACTGCACAAAGGTGGGGACTCGGGCTGCACTAACTGAAAGGAAAGATGGGGGAATGTGTTGGTTCATGTAACTGCAGGGGCTGCAGGGGAGGAAAACAGTTTTCTTAACCCTCTTAGGGTTCCTGGCTGGGTCTGAAAATTAACCTGAGTCAGATTCACAGGAGAAAATCACACACTTTGATTTAATATAAGTTTTACATGACGTGGGAGCCTTCATAAAGGAAATGAAGACCCAAAGGAACAGTTAGACCTGAGCATCTGATGCTAGGTTTGATGAAGAGTGGACAGTCATGGAGGGACAGGGTAGGCTCAGGAGGAGGTGATGTAGCAAACTGGGGGGATTTACAAGGCCTGTTTATTAGGGTGCTTCTTGGTGTCCCTCTGTCTTTGGCGATAAGGATGCTCCTTTCCTCCAGACAGAGGGAGGGCATCTCTCATATGAGGATTTTGTGACTTGTTTCAGAGAAGAAGGGGTGGGGGGTGGTCAGAGTGACTTTCCAGCTCTGCCGTTTTCTCAGACTCCTTCAGCTTAAAATATTCAGTATGCCAAGGTGCCGTATTTGGGGGTAGCGTGTCCTGAACCCCGTCATACCCAATATGAGGGAAATTCCAAGCCAGAGCCAGCAGCCCTGGGGAGCCTTGGAGACTAGGGACTTAGACCCCATTCCTCCATCCCTGGTATGTTCTTCTCTTTAGGTCTTTATCTTCCCCCTAAGACTGGAACATGGCCTTGTTGCTCACTGCTTCTCCCCTTACAACCTTGTAACCAGGAGAAGCTCCTCTGGGTGGTGGCAACCACCTCAGCCTCATGGGTGGTGATGTCTTTGAATAGAATTTGGAGGAAGATGGTGCTGGGAAGACCGGGGCAGTCTGAGCTGCGCAGATCATCAATGCCGTATCATCTGCTAATGGTTGCAGGTGAGCTCCTCACAGAGGATCCTCTCCTATGCTTGTCCTGCTGTTCCCCATTAAGCAGGCCCTCAATAAATGTTTGCCCACTGTTTAATTAACCCTTAATACCAACGAGCCTGGCCAGGACCACTAATCACTCAAACCTACCGGTGAAGTTTAGAGTGGGTCCACCACCCTCGGGAATTTTTGGGCTCTTTGGAAATCCAGGATAATCAGGGGAAGTCCAGA